ATATCTAAGATTTAGTCACCTCTACCCGGAACACTTGTAAACATCATTCTACCTAACTAATTTAGTAACGTCCATATCTAACATTTAGTCACCTCTACCTAACTAATTTAGTAGCGTCCATATCTAAGATTTAGTCACCTCTACCCGGAACACTTGTATTTTACAGGTCCAAGCAACCCATCTGTTGCTCTTAGCATATCCTTGACAATACTCTACTTATGTATTGGTTCCTACTAATTTATTCATTCCTGCATCTAGCCCAAAGCATCACTTCTGAAAGGACCACACATCTGTTGCTCTTACTAAACATCTGAGGTTCTTTTTTTAGCATCTTTTCTGACTTACGGTTTCCAACATTATTCACAGAAAGAGTGCTCCTTCGCCCTAGCAGTTAAGCTGTCAACATGTTCTGTACTCTACAACTTGATAAGCAACTTCTAGAAATATAGTTTCAGGTGTGGCCAATTCATATTGTCCGATGCCCGAGACAACACGTTTTTTCGTTATATTTGGACCGTCAAACGAGTACATTTTTCATCTGTTTTAATCACTCGCGCCACAATACAGCCAGTAGAAACTAAAATCATGTAACATAAGGAACGCCTAACGTTGCAATTTGTACTGTCGCAACGTCAGTAAAACATGTTCATGCCATGAATCACGAGAAGAATTATGTATTCTGTAGGCTACAACATATGAACATCAAAAGCAAGAAATAAAAATATTTGTTACTCTTAATTTCGATTTTATTTACTCTTGAAACAGAACACTTTCGGGAAGCCTGAGGAAATACATGTAGCCCTTACTTATTTTTAGGGCCCAGCATGGCCAGGTGGTTAGGGCTCCCGACTCGCAATCTGCGGGTCGCGGGTTCAAATCTCCATCCCACTAAACATGCACGCCCTTTAAGCCGTGAGGTCGTTATAATGTAACGATCAATCCCACTGTTCGTTGGTAAAAGGGTAGCCCAAGAGTTGGCGGTTGGTGGCGATGACTAGCTGCCTTCCCTATTATCTTTCACTGCTAAATTAGGGACGGCTAGCGCAAATAGCCCTCATGTAGCTTTGCGCGAACTTCCAAACAAACAAAACCAACCATATTTTTAGTACAGTATTGAAATTACCGTGTGATCGGTATTATAAGATTAAAACAGCAATGTTGCACTTAAATGTACGCTATGCAAACATAAAGCATTGGTACGCAAAATCAATAAAAATATACTTTTTGTATGACAAATTACGATGGTACATGTAATATCGCAGGTCACGCTTGTCTTTCAAAAACTTCGTTTTTTAAACACAAGTCTCAAAACTTCGTTTCTAACTGTAATGCCGCCTATTTTTTAAATATACTATATTAAAACAGTCTGTGTTGCCATATTCACAAAACAGGAAGATTTAGGAAGTCCCCATAGAAACCTTGAAAAGTCGCTATTTAAAAAATTCAAACGCGTATAAATGTCCCCAAAATAATATTCTAAACAGGGAAAATGTTTTAAACTGTAAGTCACAGTCTAACAGGTGTTTGTCAGAATTTTACCCAGTGCTTAAACTGCTTCTGAGAGTGCTACTCTTCTCGAAATCGTTGAATGTATACCGCTTCGTATTTTGACACTTCTTTTCTAGATTGTCTGCAAAAATTATCCAAAATATATACACACTACTACTTTTTTGCACGATGTTTTCTGTAAATGCTTACAAACAACTACAATGGCTGGAGACGGCTTGAATGGGTAATGAAGAAAAACTTTAATATAAGTTTAACATAACAGCAAGCCGTCTCCAGCCATTATTAGTCTCAAAGTGGGTTCCTCGTCATCGAATTTGAAAACAACTACAATGTACAGAGGCGTTGGAACCAGGGGTGTTGTGGTACACCCACTTTGCAACTCTTTCCAACATCACTGTTGTACACAGTCTTTAGGTGCCACTCATCGTCTCACGTTTCGTTTCGTTAAAAAGTTGTGTAGATGTAGTAACGTCGACGTGGCGTGCGTCAGAAGGTACTAGGAGGAGCGTCGATTTTCTTAACGATATTGAGCCTCTTGTGAGTACTTTTGTAACTATAGAAGTTGGCGCCTTCTTTCTCTGAATACCACTGTTGTTAATAGTGAAAATCGCTTGTGGAACGTCACTAAGTTGGCAACATTAATTTCAAATAGTTAATTTCCAGTTTAACACTATTTCAGACTAAGTAAGTTTACACGCAAACAATAATGCATCACCTCTGCTACTAGTAGTACTCGTGCCTAACAGTAACTCTCGACCACTCCACACCGAGGATGAGATTCTTGTAGCTGAACGTTAACCTGTTGCACTGTTTAACGTTTAAAAAAATTAAACGATTTATTTACTTACGAGTTTCCTGTTGCAACAATACCGTGTATACCTTTCTGACGTAGATGCCTAATTCATTTTTGATTTGTACTGTAGCGCCCTTTGTACTATGGACTGCATTTTCACTTATTCAAGGCTTATCAATATCAGTACAACTTAAACTTAAAAGTTAGCAAAGCTTTGGTTAAATAAAAACAAATCTGATATATAATGCTTAAATAGTTGTTACACTATATAATTCCGAATAGTAAATGTCATGATATTATTCACACACTTTACACATAAATATTTTTTAAGTCTACTTGAGTCTGAGGTTATCTTCTTTCTTTACTGTGTTGTTATTTTTTTGAAGTTCCTACCCTTCTGATACAGACAGGATTAATGCAGCAATTTCGACTATTGTTCATTGTTTAATAGAAACAAAATGTTAAAAGTTATGTTCGATTTGTGTGTGTATTTTGTAGAACAGTAAGAGGGCAAATAGATTTTTAAGAAAGAAGATTAGATTTTTCTAGAATTGTGTCCCTTGCACAGGATGTTTTTATTTACTAAATTAATTTAAATATGTTTATGCATGATTTCAATGTTATTAACTAACAGCTTATATTTTGGTTTGTAATTGTACCAGTTTTATAGAAGTTGTAATTAAAATCTGTTCTTGTGTTTCTTTATAGGTATTATTTTAAAGCATCATACAACTTCACCAATGAAGAGGGAATATTTGTGTGAGTGGATCTTGGTCTTTGTGGTTTTCATCATAGTCAACATACCAGTTCTAGCTCTTAATAATGGGTTAGCTTTGACTCCACCAATGGGATGGTTGTCTTGGGAACGTTTCCGATGTAATGTTGATTGCAAAAAGTATCCCAAAGACTGCATCAGGTAAACAGTAAGTTCTATTATGTAATGAAAGATATACAAGTGTAGTATTGAAATTTCATTTTTAGAAAAATCTAATGCATGATTCAGATATATTATGGCAGTGACAAAAAGCTGAAATGAGGACGGTTCAAACTAATATTTTTGATATTTTGATTCAAACAGTTATTTCATAAATAAAAATTAAAAAGTTAATAAATAGGAAATTGGTTGCTTCATTGGAAATGCATAAAAAAATAATGATTTAAGTTACTTCCTTAAGATGACATTCTAAAATCTGTTCATCCTCAATTTGCATGTATAAATGCTTAAGGTTTGTAATTAATGTATCATTTACATCCAGAATTATAGTTTTTAGAACATGAGGAAAGGCAAGATAACAGAAGGGAATTCGATTGATGAAGGCCACATCATTCATAAATACAAAACGTGCAAAAGGTATTTCCATATGGCAAACATCCAGACATAAGTTTAGCTGCATCCAAGTATCATGCTTCTGGTCACATCATAACAACTTTTTATCTGGAGAACATGTTATTGGTAATGAATGCAGCTTGTATGTTTTGCATTCAAAGAGGATTACATTGTTTTGGGTGTTGCCAACTCTAGCCCCTCCTTTAACATCCTATTTAGTATAGCACAGCAGGGGATCTCAAGAGATTAATGAAGCAGCTGTTAATGCTATGAATATTATCTTCGTTAGAAACCACGTGATTTGTTCTGTTAGGGTCAGCAACATGAAACTAAAAAATCAGAAATATCCTAAGATCTACAAGAACTACAGTCATTATTCTGTATGAATAATTTTGTAAATAACAATATGAAGATTGTTTAACATAAAGATAGTTAAACCCATTGATTTAAGCTTGTTGTGCATAGTTTTTCATATCTAAAATTCCCAGTCTCTAAAGTTGTTTGTTACTGTCTTATAGTATGTATTCTTATCTGCTTTTTTGTTGTTTAATGTTTCCTCTGGTGCAGTTAAATATTGGTAACTAAACCGTAAGGTTTAGAATTAAAAAATCTAAATAAAACAGTAAAATCATACATGTCAAAATGAAAGAATGATTGTTAAAAAGTTTATCAACAGAAAAATTTGATGCTTAAGGAAGTACAAATGAGTGTAATATACAGAAGGTTGAGTAAATTATATTTAAATGGTTTTTGAATATCAAAATTAGCAAGTCACATGAAACCACAGTTGATATAAAGTTGTGGTGGAATGGTATGTATAACAACTACATTCTGATGTTGTTTGGCATTTTGTAGGTAGTGTGATGCCACCAAAAAATTATCACTTTTGAAAAGGGTATGTAATAGCCTGTTCAGATGCAAAATATTCATATGTTCAGATCATAAGGATGTGTTCAGAACAGGGATTTAGAATTTCCAAAATGGAGATATCCTTTGCACTTAAAGGCATTGGAAAACAAAGGAATATAGATAAATTTAAGATAAATTAGAGTTTTTATTCATTACCCATTCAAGCTGTCTCAAAGTATTATGGTCAACATTACTTCTTGAATATGAGATCAGTCCAGTGGACTTATCCTGTACACATTCAGTTAATGTACATGATCTTGTGTTCTTCCAGCTTTATCTGTTAAAGGCTTCTGCAACATAAGTGTGAATTTGTACTGTAAGTATAAACAAATCATGTATTAAAGATTGAAAAAAAACATAATTGTTTGTATAATCAACATATCTTACTGAAAACTGATAAGAGTTATTTTTGTTGATTAAGAAGGTACAGGGGGGTCAAATCACATGCACCCTTTTTTTTACTGAAATAAGTCAAATTAATGACTATTATTAAATGTTGTATAAGTAGCCATATGTCCTTACATTGCCATATAGTATCAAATAGAAACATTAGATGTCAGTGCTCTTATTTTAGGCTATTAATTACGAAAAAATATTAAGATTTTTTAAAATCAATGCAGCTTCTGTCTACAGCAATCCAGTTAAAGCCTCAGACAATAATTGATTATTTCTAAGCTAATAAAACTGTATGAACATAAATAAACATTGAAATATTTGTGCCTTGCCTTTTTCGAGACACACTAACAAAGTGTCTAGACTGTAAATTTATTGTAAGTGGTATGACTGTTTAAGTAATGACTTTTAAAGCATATTTTGAAAACAGCCATACTATTAACCAAAGCTTTAATTTATTTTAGATATAATTATGCTCACCACTAAGTATGAAGGCTTATGATATTAAAAACCAGATTTCAGTATCTGTGATAGGAACAGAGTTGTATTGCTTTGGACTTAACATTTCTGTGTAAATCCCTTCCTTAACTTTCAGCAGTTGGATTTGTTAATCCCTGTTTTGGGACCTTGATACATCAGTTAAATTTTTCCTGATTCACTTATTCCACCTTCATTTAACCCTTACCACCCTTCTTTGTTTCCTTTCCCCCCATTCACCTCTTGACTGAGGATATCCATCATTTCCTTGAGAGGGTTTTTAGTAGATGCCCATTCCCTCCTTTTCACCACGTTAGCCCAGTTGGCTTCATTGGCCCTTTCCATTCACATCTGGCTCCTTTGTTGTTGGAATCTATTGAGTAGAGATGCACTTTTGGTCTGTGTGCGTCTACTCGCCACATCTTTGTAGGACTTACGTATGGCTCCCTTTTAGTATCAGTCTGTTTTGGGGGGTCTATTTGATTCCTTGGAATCTCGTGTAGAGTCTGTTCAACTGAATAATTCCCTCACTTGTTGTTTGTCCGTCTCAACCGTCCTCTGCTTCTGTCCCTCTCCTTCCACTCTCTTGCCTGTTCCTTTCTCCCAGATTTTGGTGACAAAATGTCATAGTATGCACCCTCATGAGCTATGTTACCATCATTATATGGGGAACTGGCCATTTATATTCCCTCTCCACTTTTTTTTTTATAAACCCAAGTTCTTCTCAGAGAAGCTGCACTTGTGGATTGGTTGGTCAAGATGGAGAGGTTCATTATTACCCCAACACAATACCTTGTTCACCTTGAGGTCTTTTTCAACTTGTCTCAGTTGAGCCCTGCCTTCTCCCCCTTGACTGAGGTTTATGGAGCTCTTCATTCAGAAAGCCCAATCCTCTCCTTCTCTACCCACATGAGGTTCTATCTCTTTTGGAGACTTGGGCTTCCTTAGAGGCCCTTATTCCCCTCGATTGTGCTCACATGAGGGCTCTTTTGCAGGTTTTACACAATTAATGGGAACTACATTATGGATGGGGTTCCTCATCTACATTTAAGACTGGATTTGCACTTTTTTTTGCAGATGCTTTTGTGAGGATTTGGGAGGTTTATTTGTACACTTGAGAGATCTTGGGCTGTTGGTCTTCGATTGAGTCAGGTTTCCATATCAATCTTCTGGAACTCATAGCTGTCCATCAGGCATTGGGTCATTTCTTTCCAATTCTGAGGGGCAGATTTTTCATGATTCATTCTGACAACTCGACTGTGGTCTCTTACATCACTCAGCAAGGAGGCACCCATTCTTAGTGTCTTTGTTTTCACACATTGGATCTCCTGTTATGGGCCCACAGCCAACATATTTATCTGCTGGATTGTCATATCCCGGGTGCTCTCAATCTTGTTGTGGACTGGTTATCTCATTCCTGACAAGATTCTCTCCACAGAGTGGTGTTTCAATCCACAGGTTTTCCAGTGGTTATGCTCTCACTTGTGTACACCCCAGTTGGATGTTTTTCTACCCACCTGAATACCAACCTTACTCTGTTTTGCTCCCATGTTCCACAGCCTTCAGCTTTGGTTGTTGATGCCTTCAGTCAGAACTGGACAGGTCTTTACCTTTATGCCTATCCTTCTCCTTCCCAGAGTTGTGTCCATCACCCAAACCACTCTGCATTGAGTTTTTCTTGTGCTTCCAATTTGTCCTGCTCAGTCCTAGTTCCCTTTATACAAATGTCACCACCATTATCTCTTCCTATCTCCCCATCTCTCTTTCATCAGCCTCAATCATTCATGTTTCACCCATCTGTTCTGATACTCTATTTTCACATGTGGCTTTTTTCTGATACCTTGCCAGGAGGACTGGACTTTCCACTCATGCAGCATTCCTTCTTTCCCATTCTGTCTGCCCCTCTTCCTTGTCTGTTTATCAGCGTAAGTGGCATATGTTTTACGTTGGTCACTTAATCTTGGCCTCATTCCCTCCCATCCCACAGTCTCTCATCTTTTCAATTTCTTCACTTGGCTGTTTAACAGTGGTCTTTCTGTGTCAACCATTGCCGGATATAAGGCCCACTACTTTTCATTTTTCCCATTTCCACCAGGTTTTTTCCTCTCCAGTTTTCTCCCTTTTGTTTCATTCTTTTCATTTTCTTTGTTCTCCCCAAACAAAACCCTTGTCAAATTGGAATCTTAATATTGTCTTATGTGCCCTTACTCTTCCTCCATTCAAGCCTTTGTCTTCCTTTTCCATTTACCACCTTTCCTTGAAACTTATTTCCTCCTCATCTTAGCCTGCAGGTGTCATTGGTCGAATGTGTTTGCTCCCGATGTCTCTTGTATCTTCTAGCACAGCACTTATGTCATCCTTTATCCAGATTGTACCTTCCTTCCCAAGACCTTTGCTGCTCAGGTGGTAGCTTTGCCTTCACTCTGACTTCCCTACCTTCTATATCACATTTGTACTTGCATTCCAATCCAGTGTGTCCAGTCTGGTGTTATGTGGCTAGCACAACCACCTTTTGTGGCTCCTGTTCCCATCTTTTTCTCTATTAGAATCCTTCTTTATCCAGACACCTATCCTTGATTACCCTTACTGGTTGGATTCACCAAGTTATTTCTTTGGCTTATTCTTCTTTATCCTCTGATAACTGTTGCATTTTCTGTGTTTGCTCTCACCAGATATGCCATCTTACCATGTACCTAACTGCTCATTTTTTCCACCCATTAGAGGAGATAAATTAGGCTGACATGTGGACCATTATTCACACTTTATTTTTGCATTATCTGCATTGGATTTCATTTGCCTCCTGTTACCAT